CCGCGGTCTTCCGGGGGGCCCGGCCCCCAGCCAAGCTCATATCGCCTACACGAACTGCGTTGCCATCAGCAGCTCCTCACCCAGCACCGTTCTCTGGGCTCGGTGCTCGACACCACTACCTGCGGGCGGGCAGCGGAAGCCGGTCGCCTACAGGCAGAGGTAGCAGAGCGTCGAGAGGCTCGTAGTCCCATCCCCTAGGCCTTCTCAAAGCTTCAGCCCCGCCCACTCCTGCGTAGAGACCACCCCAAGCTCCCCGCCCCAGTTCGCGCGCCCATCTGGGCTGTGGAATGACTCCACTCGGAGACACCAGGAGCCCCACTACCCCAAGTACAGAATTTGGGAGTCTAGAAATTTTCATTTAGAAGAGGTCAGTCTCCCTCTGCTCCACTACGTTTTCCACTCTGCTGTCAGTAGAAACCTTTCTAAAAACGCAGATTTTGTCACTCTTCTGCTCAAAAATCTTTAATGGCTCCCCGTCAACTACAAGATAAAGTCCAAAATCCTTGTGGCAGAATAGTAGTGTGGTTAAGAGCACAGCTTTAGAGCCAGCCAGACCTGAGTTTGCGTTTGAGCTTAAGGTCTTCTAGCTGTGTGACTTTGGACAAGTTGCTTTACCTCGCTGAATTTCAGTTTTCTCATCTGTAAAGTGGGACTAATAATAATACCTACCCTTTAAGGTGGTTGAGAAGTTTAAGAAATGTTAACCTTGTAAACTGCTTAGCACAGTATTTAGTAAGCACATAGATGTTTAGTAGGTGATAATTGTTAATTTTTTTGTATTTATTTGGTTGCTCTGGGTCTTAGTTGCGTCAGGCAGCCTCCTTAGTTGCAGCTTGCCGGCTCCTAGTTGCGGCATGCATGTGGGATCTAGTTCCCTGACCAGGGATCAAGCCCGGGCCCCCTGCATTGAGAGCATGGAGTCTTAACCACTGCGCCACCAGCGAAGTCCCTAGGTGATAATTATTCACATGGCATTCAAGGTCCTTCATAATTTAGCCTCTCCCTGCCTTTCATAGCCTCAACTCCTGCCACATCATCCTATTCTAGCATCATTTCCCTGACACCAATTCACTGTCATGCCTCCATGCTTTTCCTTCTCCTTAAAATCTCTTTTCTTTCTTGTCTATCTGGAAAAATTCCAATTCTATACGACAGTGGAGTCTTCTCAACACCGATTCCTCTCTTCCCAGTCACAGCTCCTATAACGCTTGGGATCATGCCTCCTAAATCCTCGGGAATAGTTCCAATCTCAAATAGTTTGTGGTATTATCAAGAATATATCGGTACTTCCCTGGTGGTCCAGTGGCTAAGTCTCCACGCTCCCAATGCAGGGGGCCTGGGGTTCGATCCCTGGTCAGGGAACTAGATACCACATGCCGCAACTAAGAGCCCACACGCGGCAACGAAGATCCTGCGTACCGCAACTAAGACCTGAGGCAGCCAAATAAAATATAAATAAATAAATATTTAAAAAAAGAACATCAAAATAACGCCATTCACAGCAGCATGGATGGACCTAGAGATTGTCATATAGAGTGAAGTCAGAAAACAGTGAGAGGCCCGTGTACAGCAAAAAAAAAAAATCAGTATCCAGGAGTAGTATTGTTGGGTCACATGGTAGTTCTATTTTTAGTTGTTTTTTTTTAAGGAATCTCCATACTGTTCTCCATAATGGCCGTATCAATTTACATTCCCACCAAGAGTGTAGAAGTGTTCCCTTTTCTCCACACCTTCTCCAGCATTTATTGTTTGTAGATTTTTGATGATGACCATACTCTCCTATGTGAAGTGATAGCTCATTTTAGTTTTGATTTGCACTTCTCTAGTAGTTAGTGATGTGGAGCATCTTTTCATGTGCCAGCAATCCCACTTCTGGGCATATGCCCAGAGAAAACCATAATACCAAAAGGTAAATTCACTCCAATATTCATTGCAGTAGTATTTACAATAGCCAGGACATGGAAACCACCTAAATGTCCATCAACAGGGGAATGGATAAAGAAAAGGTGGTACATATATACAATGGAATATTACTCAGCCATAAAAAGGAACAAAATAATGACATTTGCAGCGACATGGATGGGCCTAGGGATTGTCATACAGAGTGAGGTAAGTCAGAAAGAGAAAGACAAATATGGTATAATATCACTTATATGTGGAATCTAGAAAAATGATACAGATGAACTTATTTGCAAAGTAGAAATAGAGTCACAGATGTAGCAAACAAACTTATGGTTACCAAGGAGGGAAGGAGGGAAGTGGGATGAATTGGGAGACTGGGATTGACATATATACACTACTATACATAAAATAGATAACTAATGAGAACCTGTGTATAGCACAGGGAACTCTACTCAGTGCTCTGTGGTGACCTAAATGGGAAGGAAATCTAAAAAAGAGTGGATATATGTATGTGTATAACCGATTCACTTTGCTGTACAGCAGAAACTAACACAACATTGTAAAGCAAATATACTCCAGTAAAAATTAATTTAAAAAAAGAGTGTATGGGGCTTCCCTGGTGGCGCAGTGGTTGAGAGTCCGCCTGCCGATGCAGGGGACACGGGTTCGTGCCCCGGTCCAGGAGGATCCCACATGCCGCGGAGCGGCTAGGCCCGTGAGCCATGGCCGCTAAGCCTGTGCTCCGCGACGGGAGAGGCCACAACAGTGAGAGGCCCGCGTACCGCAAAAAATAAAAAAGAGTGTATCAACTTCTCTTCCCATTTTTTATTCTGAAAATATGGTTTTCAAAACACAGCATTTGTGCATACTCTGTGATGGCACCTATTATGTTTTATTCTGATCATTTCTGTGTCTGTCTTTGTCATTAGTCTGTGATCTTTTTGAGGCCAGGGACTTTATCTTCATCTGTGTATACCAGGAATTCCCATAGTGCCTAGGATGTAGTTGAGGCTAAATAATGCTAATTCAATGAATGAATGAAATAATGACTAATTGAGTGAATAAGATACCCATCCTCTTACTTTGCCTCTATGTTGACCTAGCCACTCCATTTTGACGTTAGGAACTGTCCTAAGACATGAAGGTCACTTTAGTAAGGCTGTGTGTGTTTGTGTGTGTCTGTGTATACACTATTTCCTTCAAGTCTGTATGTGTGGCTCTATTTTGAGATCACCAGATTGCCACCCTCCTTTCTAAAGGATATATTGGTGAATTTCCTTTTGCATATCCTTGGGGACACCAAGCCAATGTGTCCTGTTCTGCCCCTGCTTCCACACCCTGCCACGTCACCCCAGTACTGCTATGCCAGGAATGTTACTGGGGTAGAGTGGCTCTATGACTCAGAGGCCACGCCAGGGATTGACTGGGAGTGGAGGCAAAGACAAGGTTTTGGGGAAAATATGGAAAACACCCCTAGCCCCACTTTTTGAATTTTGCCCTCATCCATTCATATATTCAGGAGCATGTACTGGGCACTGCTCTGTGCCAGGCACTATTCTAGATGTCTGAGATATAAAAATGGATAAGATGTAATCTTTGCCCTGGAATGTTCACAGTCTTATGAGGGAGACGAACAAGCAAACAGACTGACATAATACAAGGTGGTAGGAGTAATAGTAGCTATTTTCTGGTACGTAAAGGAGAAACAAAAACCCCTAAGAAGCTACAAAACAGGGGTCTCTTCTTTCAGGAGGGCTGAAATCTAATTCATAGATCAAATCCGAGGGAGAAGATCCCCCTGTTGACTTACCGCCTTGGTAAGTCAGGGTTTTATTGGTCTATTTCCAATTTTAAAATCAGAATCATAAAATACTTCAATGTAACACAATCCCACTGCTATGGAATTATAAGTGGTAATACAAGCATTTGAAGTTTGTCTATCTTCAGTACCTAAAGGAAGATGAATAACCCAGCAGGTGGCAGCAGGGAAACAATTATTTTAGATCTTGACGCAGGGGGTAGAAGGCAGAGGTAAATGCTTGGAGATATTTTCTGGACGTTCAGGTCCTATGTTCTCTTTCGAAGACCCAGAAGACATCCGGATAGAGGATAACCAGGCCCATGTTGGGGGCTGCAATACCTAGGATTTTTCCTCCATTCCTCTTCATGTATTCATTCCACGAATAATTATTGAGCCCCTACTAAGTACAGACTTACGTCATGGGAGGAGCTGGAGATACAAGGGTGAAACACAGTCCTTGCTCTCTAGCAGCTTACAGTCTGTTCAGAGATAGTCAGGTCTTCGTATCCCCAACGGGGTTCATAATCTCCAGGGTATTTTGTTAAAATTGAGCGGGGTTAGTACGAAGACTAGACTAGAATGGGGAATTTCTCTGAGTCTCCATGCCCTTTGGAGCATAGGTAACTGAGAGAGACTAAGGGCCTGGATCACAGGAAGATTGTGTTAGGTTTCTGATCGCCTTCCGTTGCCCTTTTGGACAGCTCTTTATTCCTATGCATTTATCAAATAAATGGACATTATTCGTTCATTTATCAAATATTTACTCAACTCAATCACTGTGCCCAGTATTGCGTTTGAGGCAAAGTGTAGATCTGTTTCGAATGTCATTCAGAGGAAGGCAAGTCATGCACGCATGTTAAACTAAATGGTAAACAAGGCAGTAAAGCCGGAAGAATACTTGGTGGAATGTGTTTTGTGATATTCGACTGTTTAACGTCTTTGACTTGACACCGGCGCTTCTATCGGGAGTTCTTCCTGGGCTGTGAACTGAAAGGGTCAGCCCCGCGTACTCAGATCCCCTGCTCAGACTTCGCAAGCTAGTCTCTTCAAAGAGTCGAACGTAGATTGACTCACCCAGGCACCGTAGACAGGGGCGCGCCGTCTTCGACCTTTGGATTTGTTAGGGCGCGAGGGACCCGCGTCATGTGACCAGGATCAGCCTCCTGATTGGCTTGATTTCTCTGGGGCCCTCCCTCCTCCCCTATTGGATGGGATGGGCCGCGGAGAAGGTTGGGCGCATGCGCGATGCCTGAATTGCTTTGGCCACCGGGAGTGGAGCGGTGGGGTTGGGCGATAAACTGGCTGTGGCTAGGGAGGAGGGGGAGGGGCCACTCGCTCCGCTGGGACTTCTCACTCTCCACCTTGTTCTTTTAGGTGTGGTTTGGTCCGGACGCGGGGTCCCGGCAGCTGGCTTGAGCTTCCTCTGTTGTGAAGGGGGAAAGTAGCTCCCGCGGAAAGCGGTTAAAGTTGCGGAGAGGGTGCGAGACGAGAGTTCTCCCCCATGCCCGCCGAATGGTGCGGCCCTGAGTTGGTCCCGGAGCCGGCGCGACGTATCTGAGAGAGGGGGCGGGGAGGCGGCCCGGAGAACGCGGGTTCTGTGAAGAGACGTGGGGAAGATTCGACTCCGAGAAGAGGAAGAGGATTCAAAAGGAGCGAGGCCGCTGAGGGGGAGGGGGCTGCCAAGATGGCGTCGGCCTCCTCTGGGTCGTCGGCGGTTGGGTTTTCATCCGCGGATTCCGGGGTCCCTCCCTGCACCTCGTCTTCAGGTAATCAGGGCGGAGCGTGGGCTGGCGGCTGTTGACAGCTGTGCGATGGGGGGAAGAGCGAGGCCCAGGAAGGGCACCTGTAGTTGGGGATGTCCGAGTCGTTGCCGGTAAGGAGGACAGAGGACTAGGTTTTTCTAGCTTTCTGAGCTGGCAGGGGGAGTGTGAGGAAAGGATGGATTTGACTGAGAAAAGGGAAGCTGTCAGGAACATTGGCTGGCTTCGAGGAGACCGGGTTGAGGGCTTTGAAGGAGTAGGGTCAGGAAGGGATGGAGATTGACGGTGGGGGTAGGAAGGCAACAGAAAGGGAACCGAAGGGAGTAGAGAAAAGTAGAGTAAATGGAGGCTTCGTAAGTAGGGAGGAATTACGTAGTGTGAGAGGCAGGTAGAATCCAAGTTAATTGCGGGATTAATTGGATGAAACTGTGGAAGAGAAGCCATGGGACTTAAAAGGTATGGAAGCGTTATGGGACGCTTTCCATTGCTGGGGAGTTAGGGAATTGTGGATTTTGTTGGGGGTGGGAGTTATTGGAGCCGTCTTTTTAGTCACACCTTCCCCTAATGCGTCATTCCTTCTCACTTCGTGCCCCCCGCCCCCAAACACGCGTGCGCTCGCACAGATAAACGTACAATTTTATCAAACATTCTCCTTTGGAGACTCCCATCTCTAGACTACCCAACTTTGGGAAGGAATGGGAGGTTTTGAAGAAAACCTTAGGAATGTGGGAAATCAGGGCTAAAAGACCCTGAAAACAGATGGAGAAGGCGGAACGGTGGCGTCTCGAATTGCAGTAAAGGTTAAGGGAGGTGATGCTGGGAATTAGGCCTGAGAAGGATGGGGTGGGGGTGGCTCTCAGTGCTGTGGCGAATATTGCATAATAGGAAATGGACTGGAGGAATGATTAGGCACGACATTGGCACTTGGAGAAGGGAGCCAGGGAATATAGCTCAAAGTGGTTAGAAACTATTGAAGATTGAGGAGGGCTGAGAAGCCCACAAGAAAAGCAACAGATTGTGTGTAGGAGGGAAAATGTGTGGTGTTGGGGTTTGTGTGTGTGTGGGGGGTAGTTTGAGTCAGAAACTGTTCTAGAGCTTCCATCAGAAATGTCTGGGGTTCCACAGTGACTGTTGCCTCTACACTGTGGACGGGAGAGGCTGCCACATGATGGATGCTTTACCTGAGACATTGACATTTCCTTAGGCCTGGGATTGCATCCTTCCCATTTTGAGTTGACTAAATAGAGGGTTCCACCTTTCATATTCCAGTTCAGATGAGCAAATACTTGGTCACAAATATCTTTTTCCAAACTGCAGTTTTATTTATGTACATCTATTTTTAGTTTCTTGAGAGGTGATTTTTACCTTTCCTGTAAAGGATTAGCAGGCCAGAACAACTCATGTTGCATTCTAAATGTGAAGAAGGATAAAGTTAAAATGACAGTGTTTTTAATACAGTAGCTCCTCAATTTAAAGCCTCTTCTCCCGCTCCCCCAGTGCTGAAAGAAGAATGGTTGTGTACAGTCGTTAAGCAGACTTAACTATCAAATCAGGTATTAGAAACCAGGTTGATCTTTTTTTTTTTAAATTAATTTATTTTTTATTTTCGGCTGCCTTGGGTCTTTGTTGCTGCGCTCGGGCTTTCTCTAGTTGCGGCCAGCGGGGGCTAGTCTTCGTTGCAGTGCCCGGGCTTCTCATTGCGGTGGCTTCTCCTGTTGCGGAGCACGGGCTCTAGGCGCACGGGCTTCGGTAGTTGTGGCTCCTGGGCTCTAGAGCGCAGACTCAGTAGTTGTGGCACACGGGCTTAGTTGCTTCGCGGCATGTGGGATCTTCCTGGACCAGGGCTCGAACCCTTGTCCCCTGCATTGGCAGGCGGATTCTTAATCACTGCGCCACCAGGGAAGTCCTACTATCTATTTAAGATGTCACTATTTGATATTTTTGTATGTTTTTATATTTTCTGCCAGATCCGAGGACTAGCAAGATGTAATTCAGATTGAATAAATGTTTTTTGCTATTGTGTTTTCACCAGAAAATCAAATATCAGATTTTAGTGGACATTACAGCTCCTTGGCTTTACTGTGTTCATATGTGAAGTCAAGATATATAAAAATGGCTAAAAATAAATAGCTTAGATTCCTTTTTTTACTTTCGTTTCTTAACACCGTCCTTTTCTGCTTCTTTGGCAAATACTGAAATGGATTAAGAAATTAAGAAAAATGCTCATAAATATTTCTGAAAACATGGGATTATCTGTGTGCAGATAAGCATTGTTGACTTTTTGTTGTATCTGCATGTTCACTTAGGTTTTGGCTTACTGAATTTAATTTAATAGAATATTTCATTTCAGGGATATGTTTTTGAAGAGGATGTTTGATTCTGATGCAAAAAAAGCTACTGAGAATGTGTTTTATTTGTGATTGGAGGGGAGTGGTGCTCTGTCCGGATGGTACCAGGGGAATGAAGACATTGGCAGGAATAAACAATGGTTTATGATTTCCTAAATTGTTAAAGGCTAGCTTTGTAGAAATTCAAGGTAGGACTGTGTGTGTTTGTGTTTTAATCATCCTAAAACCAAGTTACTGTCCTTAGGTGTTTAGCTGAACTCAAATATTGGTGAAACTGAAATCCTAAAGGCAAGATTCTCTGGCAGTGTTGAAAGTGGATACAAAATAAGAATGTCAGGATTCAGGGACAGATTGATGTTTTAGATAAGTCACTCATAACCTTTGGAGGCTCAAAATCTTTTGGCATTCAAATTAGGAAGGACAGGTAATTTAGAACGGTTGTTCCCTGCCAGTATTAAACCCCTGTCTATATTATTTCACCATTAAGTGAGAGCTGGTCTTTTAAGCTGCTGACAAGTGAAATACAGAAGGTAGAGCAAAGCATTCGCTCTGAGAGATATGTGAGAGATGTCTGAGAGATCTTTTCCCATTGGAGTGATTACCATGTTTGGATTTGTGGGAGGGAGGCAATTATAAATGAATATCAGTTTACTGCAGCCATTATCATGTGCTTGTTCTTAAACTTTGGTTAAGAAAAGGTGATGCAGTTTGCTGTCTGCTGTTGCATGTGTTAAAGGAAATGTATTCCCTCTCTTCCTTTCCCTCCTATCCTCATTATTTGGACAGTGGCACCACTTAAAAAATAAAATCAGCCCTGATAAGGTGCTGTTGACAGTGCGACCATCTGTCACACCAGTGTAGGAGAGCCCCCTGTCTGCAATTTGACTAGTCCATCAAGAGTTTGAAATTCAGCCACTGAGTCCCCTTTTTACCACCAGGAAGGGAGTGAAGAGTTTCTGTTTTGGAGACTTGATTTGAAGTTAGTGGAGGAGTTAAAAAGTAAAGTTAGAGTGTTGAGGTGTCCTTTGCTCCCCTGAAATAAGAGCTGTGTGATAAAATCATGTGTGACTCCCCTAAGAAAAAGCACTTGAAACCTTAGAAGATCATGAACCTATAGCTCCTTTTGCTTCAGACCAGAACATTTCTGAAATTGTCACACATCACCAAATGATTTTATCATGAGCACAAATAAATGATTTGGAGGTAACTTTTACAGCTCCTTTCCTGACTTTCCCTTAACTAGTGAGGGAGACCCTGGAAGACACAGGAGAGAAGATTTTTGCTTGGAACTTTTGTAGTAGAGCCAGTCTTATCAGTCCTTGATTCTGGTGGCTTTGTTCTTCTCAGCAGAGCTCCACAAGTAAATAAATGTATGCTGTAATCTGATAACTCCAAATGGTAGGGGTTTTTTGTCTGTGTTCTTTGGTACAGTGTAGGCCATTTGCAGACTGATCTCTTTCCTTTCAATTCTTCCATACTAGTGAAAAATAAAGCAACTTAAGCCACTTTATTGGAGTGAGAAACTGAAATTTGGAAAGGTAAAGATAGAACAGAATGCCATGTAGGCAGAATATCACCAGGTTCCGTTTTGATTGGTATTTTATAAGTAGGGAGAGATTTTTCTTTTTGCTTTCTCTGCAGAGGGTTTACACCCACCTACCCCCTCCTTTTTTCTTTTGTCCCCTTGGTAGTTTCTGCCGGAAAACTGACATTAGAATGTCATTGTTTTTAATTATCCATTTATTTCTGCCATGGCTGCTCAAGCCCACTGTCAATTATATAGACTTATTAGGTATCCAGTATCTGATATTAATTGGTAATGTGTACTTATAAGTTAGCTTTGAATATCAAAATACATATTATGTTTTGTTTGTTAATTTCTGTGTGCTGTTCTGGTTTGATATAAAACTGTTCTGATTAATAACTTTGCTTAAATATGTGCTAGCTACTAGCTGTTAAATATTTTATCAGTCTATTTTTCTTTGATAATAAATAATGGAAACTATAGCCTGTGAAGTGAACAACAGCGATAACACCAGGCCAAATTCAGAACTGGGGAGAAGGAAAGTGTGTGGGGGTATTTTGTCCTTTAAACTGGATATTTTCTTTCCTAGAATTTTGGGATATTCTTACTTGACATGAAGAAAGCAAAAAGACCAAAGTTGTCAGTTTCTTCTCTCTCCTTTTTACTGGGTGTATCCTCTTGATCAAGGATACAAGTATGCTTCAGGAAGTATGCTGTTTCTGATAGCTCAACAGAGAGAATTTCTGTTTCTCTGTGTTCCAAACCCCAGCCCATCATTCAGTCTCAAAGAGAGAGTGTTTGGACTGATGGTGTTTCCTAGAGGAAACCCCTTCCTAGTTCATTTCCCCTGTTGCCCTTCACTTCTCCACCCTTTCCTATCAAAAGAGAACATTGTTTAGTTTGTACATATGTGTTGGTTCTGTTTCATTCATATCTCCTATGAGCTTCTGTTGTTTCTTTTACTGTTGTTTTGTTTGAAGTGAACTTTTTTCCCTCAACCCCTCCATCTTTTTAAACTTTGTTACTGATCATTTTTCTTTCTCCTCCTGTGAAATTAGTCTGTTTGTTTTTAATGGCTGTATACAATATGTATTAATTTTTAAATATCTGATTCCCAAAAAGTCACCTAATTG